CTTCCGCCGAGCCTTGAAAACCCATCTATTCCATGCGGCCGGCCTGGCGTAGTTTTGATTGGGCTTTGCTAGGGGTTTTATATGGGGTATTTTAGAGCAGGCTTTTTATTCAATATTTATTGTGATTTTTATTATTGCCTGTTCACCGCCCTGAGTCCCGTAAGGGAGATAGGGCGGTATATAAATTTAAATAATAAATTTAAATAATAAATAAATAAATAAATAAATTAACACTATGTCCTTTTCCAGAAAGCTATAGAGGAAAAAAAAATCCATGTTTTTTCAAATGGGGAGAGGATGGAGATAATTTTACTAAAGTAATTAAAACTTTATCAAAATTCTGAATAATGATGATTGTATTTAAAGGCAATTCCCCACAATATTAAAGCAATTCAAACCCAAAATATCAATTAACCTCTTGTGAATCCTATCGTCAAACGAAGTTGACTGCATATATAATAGCACTGAGTTCGGACTGGGTAACTCACTGGCTCATCTTACCCTTTAATATCATCTTTCATGATCACATATGGTTCCCTTCCACAAGAATAGAGGTTTCTATAGAGAAGCCTGCCGATTTCTATTTCTTTTATAAGCTGGGATTTGATAGTAGCAAACATTCAAACTTGTGACCAATAAATTGCTCTCCTCCTGCCCATCATAATGTCCAGTCAACAGATCAGACAGGCTCTACATTCCATTATTAGTGACTCACCTTATGCTGGGCAAGCTGCATCTTAATTTTGTCTGGATCATTTGCAATTTCCAATTCTGCATCTAAAGTCTTTTCTGAATCATCCAACCATTCAGTAAGTTTGATCCAAGCTTCATGAAACTGCAGAAAAACAAGAGGTGCACTTATGTTTTTCCAGCAATAGACTATCAATAAACATTGCATCTCAAAATATTAAATGTGACAAAGATAATAATCAAAATCAGGGAATTAAAAATGGGTCTGGACAATATATTGGAAAGAATGGCTTGTTTTTCTTTCAAACAGCCTTTTTGATTTGCAAATTATTTTGCAATAGATATTTGTTCTTTCTTATTCTAATTCTAGTTCAAACTCAAATACTTTGGCCACCTAATGAGAAGGAAGGACTCACTAGAGAAGGGCCTAATGCTGGGAAAGATTGGGGGCAATAGAAGAAGGGGACAACAGAGAATGAGGTGGCTGGATGGAGTCACTGAAGCAGTAGGCGTGAGCTTAAATGGACTCCAGAAGATGGTAGAGGACAGGAAGGCCTGGAGGAACGTTGTCCATGGGGTTGCGATGGGTCGGACACGACTTCGCAATTAACAACAACAACAAATTCTAATTCTTCCAGAAAGGTTGATATAATACAAGTGTCGCTGAGGGATAATTAATGCACTTGATGATGCATTAATGCATATGAATAAACCTCGCTATATCTAATGTGAATTTGAAAAGTATTTTCATCTACTATTTTATTGGATTCATTGCACAGATGATAATGTCAGACCTTAGGTAAAGTCAACAGTACAATGGAGTCATAGAATCAGAGAGCTGGAAATGATCGTTTAAGCCGAGTAATTCTGGCAGTATCTCTTCAGCTACCATGTGAACAGATTGATAAAGATTGTCCACCATTTACCTGAATGCTTAGTTTGGGCTTAGGGGAAAATGAAAAGAAAAAAGGAGAAGAGGACTTCTAGTTATTCAATATCTTTCCAAGAAGCCATGGATGTGCCTTCTGCTCAAAACATGGGAGATGATGGCAGAAACCTGCTAAGTATATGAGAGTACACCTATCTGGAAAAAAAAAGGGCTAAGGAATGTTTTCTTCATAATTGCTCCATCATTTGCCTGCAGTTACTAATATTTCTCAAAAACAGGTATCAGCTATCAATTTTATTACACAAAGATAAGAACAAGTAAACATTTTTACTTATTTCTTTAAAAACTAACCCAACCGATAATTAGTGCATATATGTCCAAGGGAGACATTTGAATCTTTTAATTGCTGCTTTCATCCATGCCTAAGCTCCCCTTACATGCATTCAGCAGAACCATGCTGAATTAACATTATGTGTAGGAAATGATTCTGAGTCACTCGTCCCCCTCCCCTTTTAGGCTCTTGTGGAGTTAGAACTAAAAAAAATCTCACCATAACAACGTATATCTCATTTCAGACTACAAACAAGTTGAGAAAGTCAGTTAAGTTTATATACATAATCCTGGGGGCAAAGTGTTCGTTGATCTGAGATACAGTCTTTAAAATTGAGATGGCACACTGCCATGTTACCTGTTTGGCGCGCTTTCTTGCATCATCCAAGGCTCTTCCTCTTTCTACTAAACGCTGAACTACTTTTTCCCACCTGCTCTGGACACTAATGAGAAGATTCTTAATGAGGACAACATCCTGTTTCTGGCTGAAGTACTTCAAATGAGTTCCAGTTTTGTCTAGCTGGATAATCCGGTCACGATGAGCATTTACTTCATTGGCAAAGACCTTCCAAAGGAAAAAGGTAATACTGAAATTTGAAAAATGTCTCAAAATGTAAAGCTGCCTATCTGTATCAGCAGAGAAAATGTATCATGTTACTTAGAAACCAATCTTAAGAAGCTAAATGTTACTGAGCTGATTTATGTACAATTCAGCCCAATGCATCTAGAGTGGAAAGTTATAATTCTGCTCCTTTCTTTCGTACCTTGTGTTCATCAATCTGAAATAGGACAGTGTCTAAAATAAGACTTGGCCGAGATGCCACTGTCAAAGTTTGCTCAGCTTGAGTAAGCCAGTTGATAAAATCCTGCAACGAATTGTGGAACTCGATTGCCAAACTGAGAGCTTCTTCCAGCTTGATCTGTAAGAACACAACATAATTAACCACAGTGGAAGCATTACAGAATAGTAAATCATATTATGGTTGAATAATTTGGAGGAGGCCCATTGCTTTCGGCTTTTCCCCCTAATCATTTTTCTAAGCTAATATTAACATGCATTTTGTTCTAAAACACTATCTGGATAAAATATTGCTACATAATGGTTAAGTAGAAAAAAAAGGAAAAAAATGGGGATTGAGCAAAAGAAAAAAGCATCTCATGTCACATACTGACCTCTTAAAACAAAAACAAACCATTCTTCCATGTTCAATGATAAGACCAAGAAGCATTTAGATCAGGGGTAGTCAACCTTGGCTCTTTTATGACTCGTGGACTTCAACTCCCAGAATTCCTGAGCCAATTCTGGGAATTGAAGTCCACGAGTCATAAAAGAGCCAAGGTTGACTACCCCTGATTTAGACAGAAATTCAGAAACACACTTGCTTTCTAGTTTTGATCTTTCTTGTACAAATAGGGACCATGTGCTCAGTACTGTATGAAGGATGTCAAGAAAGGCTCAGAAAACCACTGGGTGAAGTTAATCTAATTTAAGCCTTATAATTTGCACAGAAGACTGTTTCTTTCTGCAGAATAAAGGTCCCCCTGAGTCAATTACCAGCCTAGCTCAAAAACAAAAACTGTACTAAAAGAACAGCTGCCCCTGCTGTCTTCCAGGGAACACATATCACAAACGACAGAAGAACTTAGGAAACACAGTGAATTTAGCTTATCTTTAAAAACGTTTCATTGACATCTTGCCCTCCAAATAAACTGTGGCTCCTAGTGTTCATAAAACAAATTGGCCCATAATCCCAATAGCTCCAAATTTGGAGAGTTGTGATCCCAAGATATCTTAAAAGCACTTTGTGGAGGGAAGCTTATCTACATCCTAAGTGACAGCACATGCAAGGAAGTGAACCTCCCAGACACGACTAAGTGCTTATAGCTAAAAGCTGCAGTACTGAACCAGTCTGTCAATTTCTACTACACTAGTCCTCAACTTATAACCATTCAAAATTACATTGGCACTGAAAAAAATGACTTATAACCATTTTTCACATTTACGACTGTCATAGCATCCTCAGGGCAACGTGATCAAAATGTGGATGCTTGGCAATTGGTTCATATTTATGACAACTGTGATGTCCTGGGGTCATGTAGATCTGTAACTTGAGCTGGCCACGAACAAGGAGTGTATATTGGAGGTGGTGACCCTTTGAGAGCTGTATGCAATGAAATTTCATTTTGATGTATGCCGATTGGTGTACTTTCAAAGTGACAATAAAGCTGTTGTTGTTGTTGTTGTTGTTGTTATTATATGATCACTTTTGCAACCTTCTGACAAGCAAAATCAATGGGGAAGCCAAATTTCACTTAACAACCATGCTACTAACTTAACAATTGCAGTGATTCATTTAATGATGGCAAGAAAGGTGTAAAATGGGTTAAAACTCACTTAAAATAACAGAAATTTCGGGATCAATTGGGGTCATAAGTCGAGGACTATCTGTATAAGACCAAAAAAAGAATCCAAAAGCTTTTCTCCCCCAAAATATCTTCGTTTATTCATTTCATTAATTCATTCACTTCTGCTTTTTATGTTTGTATTTCTATTGCTTTCAGATGAAATGTATAGTCCAACTCAGATTGTTTTAACCGAGAAAATCATGTTTACTTCTATGAAAGCGTATATTTGTCAGTAAGTTGCTTCTGACTCCCTAGACACAACACGGTCTCTTCACTTAATACTCTGAAGAACTGTTATATTCACAATGTCAACAATGCTCTTAAAGCATATTGTATATTTCCAAATGACAAAATGATGGATTAGGGGACTATTTATTCCTCAAGCCTGTGATCTGTACATTCTAAAGAGACATTTTTGTTTTACAGACTGGACTACTCGTTAGTTTACTGATATGGTTTTCCTTATGAGCATGGATGTTTGGCATTATTTACTACACAGATTACATGGGTCCATTAACTCTTGCTAAAGAACATCACAACCCTCCTACACTAAAAATAATCTAACATTAAGATTCCTAAATGCATAGACAAATTTCTCATATTCATTCTATAACATACTTTTCTTTCGCTGAGTTTGGTCTTTACTGATTCCCATTTTTCTTTAAGATTATTTATATCCTGCTCCACATTAGTTTCCATAGACTCTGGGCATCTTGCAAGCATCTGTAGACCCTTCTGCATCAGATATTTGTATGTTTCTTCCTTAGTTTCAAAGGCAACACAAAGTTCCTAGACAGAAAGAAAAAACAGCTAAATCATTTACAATAAAGGTTGATTCTAAACTATTAGCCTCTAAAGCAGTTGTAGGGAATTGTTCTATGACTATGGGCTTTATTTTTGTGAGGAAAGGTTGTGTGAGTTACAAAAATACACATTCTGGATAATATGAAACATTCACCAGATGTCACTAGGAATGTGCACATTAACAGCATACAGAATTATGTGCATTCTTTGGTTAAAATGAATCAAAAATTTAAAAAGCTTAGTCAAATGCATGAGTTTTGTAAGTCTTTATAGGCATTCTGTTTGTTATGTACTTTGAATAAATATTTGAATGTTATTTGTTAAGTAATCTTCATGGTTATTTTGCACAACTGGCCTTGCAGAATTCTGGGATCATGCGAGACCAAAGACATTTCTACAATTTCATCTGTGGAGGCTTCAATCCACAACAAAGAATATGCAAATTCCAAATTCAGAAAAACTTTATTATTTAGTGAATGGTTATCTTTCAGAAAGAATTTTTTTTCTGGAATAAAAATAACCCAGGAAAATCTGATCTATTACTCAGATGCAAAGAAAGTCATTAAAAAAAACCTACCCAAGAGAGAGGCATTCTCAATCACATCTTTGCATTTCAGACCTAGACTGGAATCTTGGCAATGCTTACCAAACCACTAACTATAAGTTATGAATATGCAAGTAAAACTGGGCCTGGGCATGTTATATTCCAAGTCCTGGAGATAGGCATATTTTAATGAGCCTTCAACTCACTGAAAATAAAGTAATCCAACTGTACTGTCTTGACACACACAAAAATAGACTCTGTCTTTATACGCTGGCAACTGGAGTTGGATGGATCAAGAAATAATAAATGGACAATAAAGTTGAGAGATTAAGACACATAATAGCAAGTTCTCTATTTGGAGAACTTGGAGGAAATTAACAGTTTGGTATTAGGACAAGTGGATACGAAGAACATAATTTATATATACAACTTTATAGCAGATAACCAGAGACGCTTATTTCCTTAAAACTGTTTTTTTCTCTATGCTAATTGTGAGGATTGTTCACCTATGGTAATTTACAAAATTAATGCCTTTAGAGTTATTTTCCTGTGCAGAATTTGCACATTTTTTATTCCAAACAGCCACAAAGGGTTAGTTTCCAAATTTGGACCATTCACACTGCTAAGATCCTTACCATATGGGTATTAAGCTGCTCTCTTGCAGTCTCTGGTAAGCCACCAACAGGCTTTGATGCCAAAAGGTGACGCTCAGTTTCTGTCAGCCATTGTTGTAAGTCTTCAACATCACCATGGAAACCCTGGGCCTAAACAAAATGTCATCGTAACATTTCAGAGCATATTTCATTACAAAGGCTTGCTGTATCATCAACTAAGGCATTGCAAATGTTGAACACAGTTAACCACAGAATTTTTAAAAGTCTACAGACCTAAAAGAAAATGCTGTTAAATTAAGAATTCCCTAAACAAAAAAAATTAAGTTTCAAAACAAAATACATACAATGAAACGTTATTGAGTGAGAGGAAAAAAAGAAAGGAAAAAAACTAAGTAACCTTATACCAATTATATAAAATGTATTGCTGATTTACAGTTCAAATCCCAATTTATGACTGGGAATTTCCACTTGGAAGCTAAAAATACACACAGAACAATCTGTCCAATTTAAGATTTCTAATTAGGTATTTCAAGTTATTAGTAATTTATAAAAAGTATATTCCAATGTTTTAATATTGCAGAGAGATAGCAAACTGTAAGGAGAATTTTTAAAGTGCCTACCTTTGGCTTCAATGGGCCCAAATTTAACTCAATACACCTGGATGATCTTTTACACAACTTCTCATACACACCTGGATCAAAGCACTGTCCAGCTGCTGTTTCCTTTTTTCTGTTTTTTCCAAAACATTTTGCCATCGTTGATTCAGAAGCTCAAGTTTGCTTTGTAGATTGCTAGCTTCTTCCACAGCACTTGATTGAATCAGGTCATTTCCCGCTTTTTTAACTGTTTCCACAGTAGACTGGTGAGCCAAGACATCATTTTGCAGCACCTGAAGCAACAAAAGCTTGTAAGCTTCCTTTCTGTGATTTTTTTTTTAAAAAGCTACTAATTTCATTCAATTACCCTCTGTAACATCATGATTTCAATAAAACCTAATTTTTAGAAATACCGTAGTACAAATTAGAAGGTTTGCATAATTGAGCAAATCCTTTGAGATATAAAAGCTATCCACTTTGAATAACAATTCTTAGTTCTTTGGGATATTCTAGAGCAGCTGGGGAATTCCGGGAGTTGAGATCCACACATCTTAAAAGTTGCCAAAGTTGAGAAACACTGCTCTAGAGAGTCAATAGCAATAGCTTTTAGACTTATATATCACTTCAGAGTGCTTTACAGCCCTCTCTTTTTTACAGAGTCACCCCACCCAAACAATCTGGGTCCTTATTTTACTGACCTCAGAAGGATGAAAGGCTGAGTCAACCTTGAGCTGCTCAGGATTGAACTCCTGGCTGTGGGCAGAATTAGCCAGCAATATTGCATTCTAGCCACTACACCACTGCACTTATGACTTGTGGTTTTAATGATTGAAAAAAAAGTATTAATAGAAAAAAGTGAGCTTTTTTGTAATCATAGAGCAAGAGTTAATTTTGTAATCATACTTATATTTGCTGAAGAGAAAATTGGAAGCTTTTTTCTATTTTTAAAAAATATTTTCTCACTGTACATTTTTTCCTTCTAAGGTTTTAAAGCTCAAAAAAAAATGCTTTCCATGTGCTCAATTGTTCAGATCATCCCTATCTAACCGTATAATTCTAAAACATGCATGCACATACATTAATTTTAATACACAGTAAAACCAATGTTATTCCAGTTTGTTTTGATGCCACTTGTATACAGTATTTCATTTAATTTACATTTTATTTGTTTGGACATTATTTTTTGAAAACTGAACATAAAACACACTAGTTGTAATTATTGTGTAACCAGTAGGAAATCAGATACCTGTTCCAAAAGTATAGGAGCAAGTTGGAGTCACCTAACCTACAATCTGAGTAGAAGTTCTCTTTCCTGCGCACAAGCAAAAAAATCCTTTGTAATGTGACTGTGTTTGATATGTTTATTGTTTTATGCATTTTTGCTGCATGCCACCTAGTGTCATTTCTTGTGAGATATGAATTTGATAGATAAATAAAATAAAGTGAGCAATACAAAGAGGCATCATGACTCAAGAAAATAGGCATGCAGGAGACAGTGCTATAAGAAAAGGGGCTTGGGAGCCAGTCTTCAGTTAGGAAACAAAACTTTCAAGCCTTGGATCTGAGTTCCTGAATATGTGTTCCTTCTGGTTTCCTGACTGATTGTGGACTGGCACATGATTAACTTGGCTCTTATTTTTGGATTTGTCTGCACAGAAGTTTGGCTTCTGAAATATGCTTCCTTTTTCCTGAGTTCTGCATTCATGCACTCTTGTTGAGATTTGAGCTCACATAAGGACCGTTTTTCAATATTTGACCTATTTCAACTGTTAATATGGAGCAGTTATTTCCATTCAGCAATTATATCTAACAATGAAGCCCAGACGTACATGATGTTTGGCCAGCTCAATTTCAATAGCCTTGGGGTCGCCTCCCACTGGCCTCTGTTCATTCAACAGGTCTTCAGTGTGTGTCAGCCATGTCAACAACTCATCCAGAGCATGCTGGAACTGCCCCAAAGCTAATAAAGCACCTTCCAGTTTATGCTGTTCAAAAACAAGAACATAAAAATTGAAACCATGACACAAATGCTAAATCTTCAAGCACGTAAGTGTGTATTGTAAACTCATATGAACACCTAGAAGTGCCACCCAAAATTTATTTTACATATAAAATCTGAAAACCAGACTAGAGAAGAGCATTTAAAGCAAATAACATATTTTATTGTAATTATTTAAGAATTCTTGAGTGGCTTATGTTTACCTCATTTACCCTATGAGTGGTTAATGTGAGAGTCAATGACTTTAAAACTCCATGATAGGTTTGGCATTTAAATCTTAATATATCAAAGCCCAAGAACGTGCTCACTGTGAACCTCACATCTTGTTGCAATATCTTGTTTTTAATTTTTAAAAATTGTATTAGTAAAATATAACAAATAATATAGTATATTTGATCATAAAGAAGGGAAAATAAATTAGGAAAAAGAAAATTAATAAGAAATCTATTACTATTAATCTCCTGGTGGGAAACAAGAAAGTTTAGAAATGTGCTGAGGATGTTATTGTTCGTTATGCCATTTTCTTTTCAGTTTGTTATATATTGTTTAAAAATACTCAAAGGAAATAGGGATGACCAAATATGTATTTGATCAATACACATAATTGCTTATATATCATTATGTATTAGTTACAACAAATGATATGATTGCTATTTGAAATACAGAGATCTTAATATGCCTTTGTTCAAATATTTCATTACACTTTCAGAAAATATGCTGCTACATAGAGTAAGCTTTCAGCCAAATTCAATTTACCTGGCGGCTAATGATTTTATCCTCCAGACATTCCCATAATAACCTGAGTTCAGACAAAGGATCTTGAACAGTATGCTTCTCACTTTCCTCTGTGACTTTTTTCAACAACAGTTCAGCCTGATGGCTCAGTCGTTCCATTTCTATCTGCTGTTGGTAGGCTTCTTTTTTAAATTGCTGTAGAAATTCAAGAACACAAACATCAAAGGGGAATACCACCTTGTCCTTGTTAGTTTATTGTGAAATTTAGTGTCAGACTTTCCCTGAGCAGTTTTCTGCTTAAGGAAAACTATTTTTACCAAAAAAGTGCTAAAAGAAGCCCGATGTCTCTAAAAAATTACTATAAAATGTTGAAGATCTTTTTCTTCTTCTTCTAGGGCAGGGATGTCAAACTGCTGGCTCACAGGCCAGATGCATCATAGCGAAACCGTGCCCACCCCATTGCCAGCGATGGCAAAAAATCGCGGTATGTCGCGACACATCACGTGACGTTGCGAGTTTGACATCCCTGTTCTAGGGGAAGCCTGTTTTGAATGAAAAACCTTTCTGGGAACAGAATGAAATCTATATAACTTTCTAACCTAGTATTCTTCACAAGTTAGACAACTAAAGCACACTTTTTTTCTGAAATATAAATGGACAGCATACTCCATCATTCTTATATCTGAAATGTTTCACACTCAATTTAGTCCAGGGGTAGTCAACCTTGGCTCTTTTATGACTCGTGGCTGGCTCAGGAATTCTGGGAGTTGAAGTCCACAAGTCATAAAAGAGCCAAGGTTGACTACCCCTGATTAGGCCATAAAACAGGAAGTCTTTCAAAACTTCCTCAAAGCGAAGGTAATGTTGATAGAGCTCTTCACTGGAAGTGACCGAACCCAATTACACCTGGTGTAGAGATCCATCCCCAGAAGAAATTAACTGAAGGGAGGGAATCCATAGTAATATATCACACACAAGAGGGGCATCCTCCTCTGTGACTGAACATTTTAGACTCCTGGGTAACTTACAATGCAAAGCTTTGACAAGTTCAAAACTCTGCAACCCTTCATCGGCTTTCTGCCTGGAATAGAATCGAAGTAGATGACTATCAGGTGGACATATTCACTGCGTTCTCTTTTGCAAAATATATCTTCTTATTTTTTTTAAACTGAGGCATATGACAGGAGGAAGTAAAATAAATCAGAGAGCTTTTTCTAGATGCACAGTTGTGAGGAGGGGGGAACAACACACAGTCTACTTTTTGTATTGTATTTCAACTTTTAGGGATTTATGAGCCATTATGTTCCCATTTTATTAAAAGCCATTGCTTCAAAGCTTTAAAGTCCTTTTTAATAAACCTTATCAGAACAAAGAACATACGTATCACATAACACAATTTGATCTAGGCGTACAGGGGCGAGGCAGCTTTTCCAAAGACCCATGTGAGAAGGATCCCACTGGATACTGTTTTCTGTTCCAACAAAACTTATGATACCATGGACTTCTCCCACCTTCCCTCCACTTCTTTGACAAGCATTAAAAAAAATCTTGACTTGGTTTCTGTGGCTCCAGCTGTCTCTCTAGTAAAGATATTGAGAGGTGCATCTGGGTGAGTTATGCAGTGATTACAAAAGAATGAAGCAGAGACATGCAGAAAACCTTCACGTTCTGCTAAGCCAGGGTGATGTATCACTATAATTGTCTGACTCAGTCCCTAATGATTTCTTTTTTTCAAATATAAATTTTTATTATTTTCATCATAGAAAAAAACATCACAAATATTTCACAATGCTATAAAGAAAACCCCCCACCCACCCACCCACCCCCCCGGACTTCCCAAACCTAATCCCAGGATACTATTCAAATATAAGTAAACTACTATTAATATCCCTAACTCCACAAAATATTATTCTACATAAGTAGGTGAGATATATAGAAAAAAGAACAAGTTAACTAGAAACCTAAATTATATTCCACCATTCTATGCTTCTTTTGAATATAAACAATCCATCTTCTCCATATTAATAAAAATTGTTCATTTGAATGATTCTTCAAATAAGCCGAAATCTTTGCCATTTCAGCAAGGTACGAGACCTTCAATCTCCAGTCCTCCATTGTAGGTAAAATTTTACTCTTCCAATTTTGAGCTATCAGCAAACGGGCAGCAGTTAAACAGTACATGATGGCCAAAGATAAAAATCAACTTACGCAAATATCAGGATTTGAAGTGGTTAATAAAGTTAAGTACTTGGGAATTTTTTTGTCCTCCTCTAACATGAAACTTTATCAGAATAACTATGAAAGACTGTGGAAATCAGTACAAAAGGACTTATTAATATGGAAAAAACTTCAGTTTTCTTTGCTGGGTCGTATCGCGGCCATTAAAATGAACATTTTACCTAAGTTTCTTTTTTTATTTCAGATGTTACCTATTTTAAAAAATGAACTTAACCTGAAAGAATGGCAGAGAGACTTGAATCGTTTCATTTGGGAAGGCAAGAAAGCGAGAGTTAAATTTAAGATTATTCAAGATGTTAGAGAACGTGGAGGACTTAAAGCTCCAAATTTGACACTTTATTATGATTCTTGTGCATTAACATGGACGACGGATTGGATTAATTTGTCTAACAAAAGGATATTGAATGTTGAAGGATGGGACTTGTACTTTGGGTGGCATGCCTACCTTTTTATGCAGAAAAAGATTGACAAAACTTTTAGAAATCATATAATAAGGGCTGCATTGTTAAGAGTTTGGCAAAAGTATTTTTCTAAGTTTGATGTTAAACTTCCAACTTGGGTGATACCATCACATATTTTTTNTGGATCCTGCAACTATGTCTCGCATTTATGAGAATTATGAATCCAAGTGCTGGAGGTGTGGACAACAAGATGCAACTTTTTTTCATATGTGGTGGACTTGCAAGGTTATTAAGGCCTTTTGGATAAAATTGTGGTGGAATTTACAGCAAATTTTTAAAAGAAGAATTATTTTTTTGCCTCAGTTATTTCTCCTAGGTATTACACAAAATTTGGATGTAAAAGAAACGAACTTGATCCTAATGATTTCTTAACCCTTGCTTTCAATTCTAATAGAAATGTTGGAATCCTAACTTTTCAGTATCAAATCACTGTGCAAAGCTTATTTTGGCTGATGGTTTCCTGTTTATTTTTACAACTTGTCCACTTCGGCTTTGCACATGCAAAAACAGAGTTAAGACTGGATCATCTAGTCTAAAACAGTGCTGCAAAACAGGATATCTCATATTATCTCCATTTCCTGTGTAAAATGCACAACAGTATCCAGGTATTATGAACAGAATGAGTCATCTTTTCATTCTAAACCGTCTTTTGGAATTCACTGGGGTTTTCTGTTTCATACACCAGAAGGCTGGGAATGGAATGAATTCTGAAAATTTAAGAATAATCCACAGTATACAAAGTGAAGGAGCTTCACACATTTTAAAGGGGAAATGGGGTACTTAAGGAAACGATGCAGCGAGAAGAAATAACCTTGTATTAAAAATACCCCTCACGATTATCTTTTGCCAAAAAAATAAATTCCATTTTATGCCATATTCACAAGGAATTCAATTTATACAGTACAAAGTAGCTGCAACATGATCCAAGATACCATCCCTCACAAGAAGATTTAAAAGAGAAAGTTACGTTTCTCACCTTCATTTCTTCTGTTTGCTGTTTTACTGTTTCTAGGTCTGTTCCAACTGGTGACATTGAAGCTAATTTACTACCAGCAATATCCACCCAATCAAACATAGCCTGTCAAAATAATATAATTAAAATAACAGGACAAAAAGATGATGTAGCATATTAACAATGAGCTGCGTATATAGAGAATACTGTTCGTTACATTAGAAGAACTGCAAGAATTTATACATTTATGCTCAGTTTTCCGCATACTATATATTTTGCCATTTCTTTTAAAATTCTGATTTGCCTTTATGCACAATGACATCATGACACGTTTTCCCACCCCAGTTGCTCTGAAGTTTAGACAACATTCTGAAGTAGTTTTTGGATTTGAAGGGGGAGTTGGGAGACATGAAGAAGAAAGTCCTGTCTTGTCTAACACAGGATAAAGTCTTTTGGTCTAGAATAGAACAGCTTCCTTTGAAAGCTGCCAATTCATTTGCTGTGATCCTGAATTTCTTCAATTAACCTTTGAAGGAAGTTCATGAACGTTGGTGTGTGTTGTGGGTTTTGTGTGTGGGTATGTGTGTGTGTCAAAACAGGCAAGATGCAAGTCCTGCCTCTGTTGTGTGTGTGGATACGATGGTGCATCTTTCATCTTGAATCTGCCACAGATGCCAATATATCTCTGTGTAACTTCAATCAAGATGTCCTCAGTTCACTCTAAGAACTTGCCGATATGGAATCTTCCACCTAGAGATGCCATAGACCTGACATTGATGCAGTCCCTCTTCATCACCAAAATGCAATGAGGCTTCCTTTAAGGTGGGGAAGCTATGCCATTAACTTTCAGCTCAGGTCTAACTCCACAGGAAATGCCAGAAAGGCAGTTTAGCAGCATTTCCTTTGGAGTTGCAAAGATGGGTGGCTTCCCACTAGTGGGAGTTTCTTCCTGGTTGAAGTAAAGGTGCCATTAGACTTAGGCTACTTCCCTACAGCCTTCAGCTTGGAGGGGTGGCTTTGTGGCTGTTGCCCTTTGTGCTGAAAAAAAAAGCTGTCCAGAAGTGAAGTTGGGGATGGGGCACGGACACAAGCCATTTTCCCATCCTTTAATTTTCATTTACTCAAAGAGGGCAATGTTCTTATCTCTGGGGAGATGCTGCTCTGGGTGGGGGCTGTGTCAGAGAAGGCACGCTTCCTCAGTCCTACAAGATGACAACATTTAATGGAAGGGACTGACTTCAAACCAGTACTCAGTGAACTAATCACGTAGTCTACTAAGCTTAATGGGACCTGTTCAGATAATGAGTACAAGATTTCCATTTAAGTAAAATATTCCTAACTATTGGAAAAAAATGGTATAGATAATATGCATCATCTGTCGCAGACAGATAATGTCTATGAGCCGAAGTGGTGAAACAGAGATTTCGTTTGGAATTGTAAATGACCCAATTATGTTAAATCTTATAATGTGCTGAGCAGGTAATATTTAGCCAGGCCAATGAAGTAATACAATAGGATTTTAGAAAATGTGAAATGACGTTCACTGAGTGAAATCCAACCTTCTACCATTATAGATGTCACAAATAATTATGAATAGTTTGAGCTTAAATCAAATGAAATTTGTTTAAACTCACATAAATGAAATGTACTCTAAAAAATTGCACAGGAAAAACAATTTTAACCACGGAATAAATTTGTAGATTTAATATTAAAAGGGGCATTAAATGTACAGCAAAGAGGCTGACAAAGACTGCATCTCTTTCTATAGTTTAACCACTCACCTTTTTAAAGACTTTGCTTGAAAAATCTACAGCTAAATCAAGTACAGGTAGTCCTCGACTTACAACAGTTCATTCAGTGTCCGTTCAAAGTTACAACAGCACTGAAAAAAGTGACCCATGACCATTTTTCACACTTAGGACTGCTGCAGCATTCCCATGGTCACGTGATTTATATTGGGATGCTTGACAACGGTTTCATATTTATGACAGTTGCAGTGATCATGTGATCACCTTTTGCAACCTTCTGACAAGCAAAGTCAATGGGGAAGCCAGGTTCACTTAACAACTGTGTTACTAATTTAGCAACGGCAGTGATTCACTTAACAAATGTGGCAAGAAAAGTCGTAAAATGGGGCAAAGCTCATTTAACAAATTTCTCACTTAGCAACATAAATTCTGGGCTCAGTTGTGGATGTTGGTTCACATTTACGATGGTTGCAATATCTTGAGGTCACACGATCTAATTCACTTAATGATTGTGGTGATTTGTTTAATGACCATGCTAAGATGGTCGTAAAACTGGGCCCAGTCAATCGCATCACTTAGCGACAGAAATTCCAGACCCAATTGTGGTCGTAGGTTGAGGAGTACCTGTACACACTTTCAGTAGGGTGCCTCCTGATCTACTTACAGGTAATTTTTGACTTATAACCATTCATTCAGTGACTGTTCGAAATTGATGTTGCTGGGGGGAAAAAGGGTTTTTTGATCTGAGCCTGAAATTATGTTCATTGCAGCACCCCAGCATGATCAAAATTTGGGCACTTGACAATCAACCCACACTTACCCTACTGAGGTGCTTCAATTCCCCCCACCTGCCTGTTTTTCTCCCCCCATCTCTTCCCTTTTGGTTTCCCTACACTAGTGATGGCGAACCTTTTAGAGACTGAGTGCCCAAACTGCAACCCAAAACCCATTTATGCATCGTCGGGTGCCGGGTGAGTGTGGCCTATTGGGTGGGCGTGGCCCATTGGGTGGGCGTGGCCCATTGGATAGGCGTGGCTGCGGTGGTAACGGCAGACTGGGTGGGACTAAAAAGTTCAATCAATCAATTCCAACTTTGCAAGATCTTTTTTTTCCCCGCCAGAAGTTGAAATTGACTGATTGATTGAACCTTTTTTTTTGGGTACACGGCGGCGGAGGCCTAAAGCGAAAAGGTTTTATAAAACCCAGCTGAAGGCCTAGGACTGGGGCGACAGCGCCCGTGCCCACAGAGAGGGCTCTGAGTGCCGCCTCTGGCACCCGTGCCATAGGTTCACCACCACTGCCATACACTTTTCCTTGTGGGGTCACAAGCAGCCACAGAAACATATAGCTCCATGGCTGCTTGCCATAACCGAAGAAAGCCTCAGTAAGTGCCAGCAGACATTCATTTGCCCGGCTGCCTCCTCTCCCCAGCCTCACGTGGGCTCCAGCCTGCCCCAGCAAGCATTCCTTCCCAGTTCCCAGCACTAACATTTCACCTTTTGTGCCTAGTAACTCACTGTTGTCTCTTTTGGGACCCAGCTTCCCTGGCAAATGTTTCCTGCACACTGCTCAAGGTTTTAGATTTGGGACAGGGTTGGGGGGAGATTTCCGATAGCTTGAGCTATCTTGGAAATGGGGGATGGGATGATTCCCAAAGACAGTACAGCATTCCAAATCTTCTCACACTCCCTCCCCCCCATCATTTATGAAAAAGACAGGTGCTTTAAAAAAGAGTAGATCACTTCTCTGGTCAGACGTACTTTTGCCAAATCATTTTCAAAGCAAGCACAACCCTATGTTTATAGATTTTGAAGAATAATTAGGTCGTTATTAAAACATTTCACGATCCTTAATTGTTTTGTTTTGTTTTTAAGCAACACCTTTCCAAATATTCTACCAAGAAAATATTATAAACAAACTGAATTTAAAGACGTACCTGCAGTCCGTCTTGATACTGAACAGCAGCCTGCATAGCGTCTTCAAGTTTGTCAACACGTTCCTTCCATGCTTTATTTAAGCCATCCCAAATGGAATTTAGCTACATTTTAAATGGTGAGTAAAGTTAAAAGAAAAAGAGCTTTTAAGTCTTTAAATATATATATATATATATAAATGTACTGATTACAATGCAAAGAATAGTTTAAATCTCTCTAAAATTGCAAGGAGAGGGAGAGTTCTAATTAGTTGTTAAAAGTTAACATAGTTTTCAATGTCATTTCCAATTAAGATTAGAATTCCTTTCATTCAAACTTTAGGACCGCAGTGGTTTTATTTTATTCAGCAGAAGAGCATAAGCCAGGTATGTTGAAAATATACAGTTCAATTATTATTAAAACGTAAAAAAAACCCAGAGATCGTAGACAATTGGTATTGACAATTTGATATATCTAAATCAGTGTCTGACTCAATATAAGCCATGCTCTTCCAAAATTAGAGGTTTCTAGTCCCTTCAGAGAACCATTAAGTACCAAACATTTACATGATCAGTACCTCATCTATACTTTTGTTGACTAATGGTTTGTCAGGTTCACCACATGCAGCTATGAGTTCAGAGCCAAGATTCACAACGGCATCAAGTTCTTCTTGTAACCCATCTATCTCTTCTTTGATGGTCTAGATGAAAAAAAAACATGAAGTTTCAAACTATCATATTAATATTTAGGAAAAGCAAATTCGTTTTAGTCACAAAATATAGTTTACTTACTATAGGTGTTTAAAGAGCGCAACGTATTATCTGTGTTTAATAATTATAATAATTAAACTTGTATTTTGCCTGATTGTCAACAACTCTGATCCCTTCTGCCAACTCAATAGGAAGTTACTGCAGAAGCACTTTGGTATTCCTTATATTCCAGTGAATTAATATTATAAATACATCTGCCATAATTCTTACAAAGTAAGGTGAATACTAGCATCCCTTTAAAAATATTTTTCTCATAGCTCACATTTCTTAAGCTTTAACAAATCATGATAGGACAGTGATGGCAACCTTTTAGAGACCGAGTGCCCAAAAACTGGCCCTGCCCCCACTCCACCTCCCTGCTCTGCCCCAGCTCTGCCCCCCCATCCCCCACCCCGCCCACAGGACCACTCACCGCCTCCAGGGCCCGCCGCAGATCGCCCAGGCAGCCCAGCAGCACTATGGCGGCCACACCCTCTGCCTGCATCCTGCAGCATCAACTGCATGATGGGGCATGAGGGCAGAGTCTTGTCTACGCTGCCTGGCTGCCATGTCCTTGGCTGCGCTGCTCCATGTGGGCCACGCTCGAGGGCGACTCTCCTTCAGGGGGGCTGCTGGAGAGAAGGGGGTCGCGGGGGGAGGCAAGACTGGGGCAACAGCACATGTGCCCACAGAGAGGGCTCCGAGTGCCACCTCTGGCACCCGTGCCATAGGTTCGCCACCACTGTGATAGGATAATCTATAGAGAAAGTCTTGGTGGCAACATGTTTTTCCACATGAACACAAGCCATTGTGATGGAATGTCTATTTCAAGGACTGAAAAAAAAATACAACATCTCCTCCTTGAAGTCAAAGTAGAATCCAGTGACTTCATGAAAGTGTCCCTATATAGAAGAAGACAGCCACTGCCTTTCCTGAGATTTTGTTTTTTCTTCCCAAACTAGCTTACAGTCCTAGGATTCCATACAGCAGGGGTTCCCAACCCCAGGTCCATGGACTGGTACCGGGCCGTGGCATGCCAGCAACCGGGCCGCACAAAGAAGCAAAGCCCCATCCGATGGATGCAGGCAGCACACAAACCACGCCCCCTCCGGTCTGTGGAAAAATCTCTTTCCATGTAACCAGTCCCTGGTGCCCAAAAGGTTGGGGACCTCTGCCATAGAGGTCTCCCAACAAAGTAATATCTAGATTCAGGCCTGCTTAGCTTTTTGAGATAAGATAGAGGAGTGGGGAGGAGAGAGTGTGAGCTTGTACCATGGTATCAGGATATCAAGTGCTCACCATTCGTGGATGGTGAAGTCTTCCAAAATGTGCATACGTATAGAAGCCTACTTAGAAATACTAGTACTCAATGATTTTGATTTGAAGGAGGAATATGATACTTAATGTACCTTTTCCAGGAAGTGGGCATAGAATTTCATCCTCAAGACGTTATAAGTATTTTATTTACCTCTGCTGCTTCCTGTTGTTGTTTCACCACCGAAGGATCAATCCCTGCTCTTTCTAGTTCTCTGATAAAATCTTGAGTATCTTTGATGGTGGCTATGAGACCCATATGATCACACCAGAACTTCTCTGCTAATTCCATGACATCAAGGAGCTTTGCTTCCCTTTCCTCAGCCAAAGCATGGATATCCTCCCAGATAAATACCATCTGATCGAGCTTATCTTGAACAACTAGGCAGCAAAAATAACACGACAGTTACACAGGCAGAGTGATCTACATGTCCTTGAGAGGAGCTTGTAAACTATCTGTGATACATTTATCTTGCAATGTAAATATTTTGGGATGAAAATGTGCTATTAAAGGATCAGATATATAATGGAATATAAAACAATAAATATATATACAACTATCTATAACATGAAACATACATGCCTTCCCTCAGAAACAGCTAATACAAGATAATTCTTCTGTTACAGATGTTTACATTTTTCTTTTTAATGCTTCCAACAAAAATAGGGGAAGAATTCCCAATCTGGTAACTTCCATTACCTTTAGCCGATATGTCTTTATCAGCTCCTTTTGAACGTGCAATCATTTCTTCTCCACGCAGCTTTAGAGTTTCATACACTGGCTGCAGTTTTTCCAAATCTACAGAGACATTCTTATTTTCACTGATCTGTTCTTTAATCTTTTCAACTTCAGCTGAGATTGAAGGTGGCTGCCGCAAACGTTCAACGATCCGATCCAGGTTCTCAATAGTTGAATCTATCTTATCATGGAACTGCACAAGCCAATAGAGAAGGGATAAGTAGGGGCACCTGGGTGAGTCACAAAAAAAATGGCTACCCACCCCCCAAAAGAGCCAAATCAAATCTGGAGGGGGAAAATGGGCTATTGCCCAACAAAATGTTTACATAATCATTGTTCTGTATAAAATACTTCCTTGTCCTATGTATGTGGATAAAAAAAATACTAATATGTAAGACAATTCCCATAGTTGAAATGAGTGCTTCTAAATCAAAATGTCTGAATCAGGTTCAACTTGTAAGAGATTTGTAATAATGATTTGTTCTCTTTACTTCTGTATTATTATTATAGCTGTGTTTTTTTTTACTGGGATCACAACTACCAGTAAACAGTTTCATAAATATTATTTTAAAGTTGAAAAACAATACAAGATTTCTCCTTTCAGCAAGTTTAACCACAATGTCAAATATAACTTTTATCAGTCCCTTTTATGCACTGACGTCTGTCAAAATCCCTGGGCTACATCCTTGGACAGCAAAGGTGATCAACACTCAAGTGCTGGAGCGCATAACACCAGACATGTCACTGGAAGGAAAAATAGCTAAATTGTGTCTCACTTATTTTGGCCATGTCATGCAGGGGAATTCACTGGAGAAAGCAATTATGTTGGAAAGAGTTAGGGGTAAAAGGAAACCAGGCCATCAAAGAACACAGAGGCTGGACACCACGGGCCAAAACATGGAAAAACTCAAATAGTGCAAGGTCGTAAGATGTGGAGAGACCTGCCCATAGAACCGCTAAGAGTGAATGGTGGATAACATCATCATCATCGCAATCTTGCTCCTCTCTCTCCTCTCTCTCAAATGAGTAATATTGGATATGACCAAGAGATTTCATGTAGATACTTAATCACACATCCAATTTCCCCCTTCTTTAGCTAGAGAAAGAATTATATGGATCAGGTATCTATGCTGACTAGCTATTATTTCTACAAATTACTCTCTTATTAAGATGTAAAGGCTCTCTACAAAGATGAAAAGAACCATAAAATACAAACTTTCAGACAAAATTATTCTCTTTTCTTTTTGATCTTTGGAGGGTTTGTCCCTATTCAGTAAGGACTGCAAATCAATGGAATACAATTATTTTATAAATGTATCAATCTAATGTAGATTTAATTAATCCCAAATCATATTTTTAGATATGATTTTATCACTAGGAAAGACTTTTTATTGCATCAATATTCTTCGGTAACATGCTTTAGTGAAAGTATCCTCAATTAATATGATTTTATATCTAGTATTGTATTCTAAACCAGGGGTCCCCAACCCCTGGGCCGCAAGCGGCAGGAAAGTGCATAAAGCTTTATTTGTGCATGCGCGGGATTAAGTTGTGTGTGTGAAATCATTCCCCCCTCCCCCGGTCCATGGAACCAAAAAGATTGGGACCGCTGGTCTAAATTATTAAACAGAAGATTTAATTTAAATGTTACTATGTTTTATCAAACATGGAACTTTTAAATAACCCCTGGGCTGTCTAATGCAATCTCTGTTTCTGGCCAGGATGAAGTCAGTCAGAGAGAAAGAAGGAGATTCCTTCTTGATATTTCTTAAGGGTAGATGCTAGTACTTAGTTAATTAAGCTAAATGCTATCAGATGCTAATTAAGCTAAATGCTATCAGATGGGCCTTAGTGCCACCAGCCCAAAGACATTGGGCAGCGATTACATTTTTCTCTTTTGCTGGTTTTTGTGTAAGGAAAAAAAGACAGAAGATATTATACAAAAAAACCCACAGAATTACGAACGGAAGATGTCTCTTAGCCCCGCCAAAAATTCTGTAACAGGAATGGGAGGACTACACAATGAACGCCTTGTTTAGAAATAGCCTCGTAACTAATTTGCAGCCCATTTATAGTGAATGCAACAAATCATTGCTTTCTAGTACCAAGAAAGAGTGAGTTCCTACAAAAACATTTAAAAATATCACTTGGAGAATTCATTTTATTTTAGTCTTGGGTAGATTTATGTTGAAGACATGTGTGGTTGGCAAGCACGCTTAAGCCAAAGTTCACTGAACAATAAAGCTAGTTAGTATGCACACATGTCCATGGATAGACTGAGGGCTGACAGGTTGACCAACGCTCTGTGAAAACACACTGCCCTGTGTTATAAAACATTTGTATAAGTTGAAAAAAAGGTACATATTTAGTATTCATCACAAAAGTATCCTCAAGCTATTTTTTTTTTGAGACAATCAGATTATTTTCTTTTACACCAAATTTCTCAGAGGTTCTGATTCTTGAGCAGGTAAGAAAAGTACGTTTATATAACTGTGATGCGATTTATTCACCTAGCATATGGTGACCTGTACTCCTGATAAGGTGAATATATACTGCAAACAAAGGGATATAAATTAGCAGGGAATATTATCTGCTCTCCTTCTGGAGAAAAATAAAAACAAATAAACAACAACAACAAAAAAACTCCCATATACCTGAGTCGATTGAGAAATGGCTTCATCCAGTGCTTGGGCCCGCTTTCTGACATCTTCTTTAATTTGACTGTAAAGAGCATCAGCTGCCACATATTTCTCTTGGATTAAAAATCCCTCTTCTGGGCTCAGCTCCAGGAGTTGAGGTCCAGTTTTGTTCATCTTATCTATGTGAGGCTTATGCTCAGCAATCAACTCTCGTAGTTGCTATAACAGAACAAAATACTGTCAGTATCTCAGCCTTACTATGCCACATTCTAGATTTCTATATCTCCTACAAATTCAACATCTCTTCGGAAAAACAAGGCCAAAGTGTAATTCATACTGGATGTATGCATTTAACCACAGCCTAAAGCCAAACTACTTTCACCTGTAACTGAATAAAGAGAGAAATCATCTTACAGTACATTTAAAAAGAAATATGGCACCCGTACTTTCTGTGGGTGTAAAAAAAATTGAATAAGGCTATGCATTATGAATAAAAATGGAAAACAAGTTTAGAAATCTGACTTGCCTGTTTTGTTATAGCACTCAACACTAGCAAGCTATTTTTAGTCATATTTAAACAATTTGGGAACTTTTACAATGCTGGTACTTAATAAATCATTTCTAGTGCTGGATAACTGGCTGAATGTTTTTATTAGTTGTTCTATGTTATTCTGTTTTCTGCCTACACTTTCCAGTCTGTTTTTTTAAATATTCTGGTTGTTCAAAGCACTAGTTTTCCTGGTAAACTTTTAAAATTAAGTGCAATGAAGTATGCCCTGAAATCCAGATTTATTTATTTAGGAGATTCCCAATTATTTAAATTAAGTGCTAACTTAAATCTCATCAGTTTCTAACTTATTCCAAGAAGGACTAAAGCTGAATTTTATCTGTTAAGTCCTTTGTTTTCATCTTCATTATAAAAACACAAAACATATATATTGTCATATGCTTATAACTATGTTAATGTCCTGAAGTATACCAGTTCTTTTCAGGAGACTGCTATTATGAAATTCAGTCCTTACTAATTGCTTTCTATGGCCCGATGAAAATAATCTCAAATTAAGCATATCATCCAAATTTTATTTTTTTAGAAGGTGACAAATTAAAAGTACAAAAGCAGTACAGGTAGTCCTCGACTTACAACAGTTCATTAGTGACTGTTCAAAGTTACAGCGGCACTGAAAAAAGTGACTTATGACCATTTTTCACACTTATGACCACTGCAGCATCCCCGTGGTCATATGATCAAAATTCAGACGTTTGGCAACTGACTCATATTTATGACGGTTACAATGTCCCGGGGTCATGTGATCACCTTTTATGACCTTCTGATAAGCAAAGTCAATGGGGAAGCCAAATTCGCTTAACAATTGTGTTAAGTGTATTAACAATTACAGTGATTCACTTAACATCTGTGGTGAGAAAGGTCATAAAATAGAGCAAAACTCACTTAACAACTGTCTCGTTTAGCCACTGAAATTTTGGGCTCAATTGTGATCACAAGGTGAGGACCACTTGTAGCAAATCAGAGAGAAAGAGACAATAAAGGTATAAAAACTGCATAGCCGTATTTTAAAAATTATGTGATTTCTTATAAGGAAAAGAATATTATTATTATTATTATTATTATTATTA